CGGGCAAAGCGGGTCTGGGGTGGAAGAGAATGGGCAGACGGCCACTCTGCCCTGCCAGGACCCCAAAATACCCTCCATCCCTGGGGTCTCCACGTGTTGATCTGCTGCTTCACAGCCCATGGCAAATCTTGCAGGCCCTGGTAGCTTTAGGAGGTGACAAGAAGGAGCCAGGACCCAAACCAGCCCCACCGTGTCCCGAGCTCCACTTCCAATGCCCTGACAGGAGCTGCAGCCAGGGGGGGGTCGGGCTCTGCTCCCAAAGAACTAGCCACAGCCTCAAGTTGCACCAAGGGAGGTTGAGGTTGGACATGAGGAAAAATGTCTTCCCCACAAGGGCTGTCCAGGCCTGTCCCAGGCTGCCCAGGTGGAGTCCCCATCCCTGGAGGGACTGCAGAGCTGTGGAGATGTGGTGCTGAGGGACGTGGTTTAGCAGAGACCTGGCAGAGCTGGGTTAATGCTTGGACTGGATGATCTTAAAGGTCTTTTCCAACCAAAACAATTCTATGATCCCATGATGCCTGAGCACAGCCATTTTTCCCCCAGGTGCAAACCCACAGCACCATTCACAACAGACAATTATGCAACGAGCCAAAATTAATGCTATTGAAATGCAAATGAGAAGCCCACGCAAACTCTGCCTCCTGCTGCTGCTCCTCAGCTCTGTGGGTCAGTTCTGGGCTGAGATGTGGCTCCCAGCCCCACACCAGGAGCCCCAGTAAGGGCTGCCCCAGTGGCCAGAGGAGACACAGCCCCCTGACCAGAATAATTCATTCAGCCTCTAAGTTCCTTCCCAAAGCCCTTGGACAAATCATTTGCTGAGAGCACCCACATTACACTCAGCTTCTAATTAACATTCCATGGAGGAGTTTAAATGACTGACACACGTTGCAAGCAGTTCTTATTTTAAAAAAAAAAGACTTTTGTATATAAAAATTGCATCTAACTGCAAACATTGAGTGACAAGTTAACACTCAGGGTTTTAAAAACCTCAGTGACAGACAGAGAAGTTTGGGAGCAGCTATTGGCAGAGCTGTCCCGCCTCACAAGCACAGAAACGAGGGGAGACTCTCAGCTTAGGGTAATTTTGTCATCCAAAACACCCCATGACACAACACTGAGCAGCCCAGGAAGTGGATTTCCATAGTTTTGATTTTCATGCTGCTCAGAAACACAATTTGAGGAGCTGCTCGTGGGCAGCAGGGCAGGGAGGGGATCCTGCCCCTCTGCCAGCTCTGGGAGACCCCCCTGCAGTGCTGGGGCAGCTCTGGAGTCCTCAGCACAGCAGAGCCAGGGACCTGCTGGAGCGGGGCCAGAGGAGCCCCAGCAATGCCCCGAGGGGGGAACCCCTCTGCTGGGAGCCCAGCAGGAGAGAGTTGGGCCGGGGAAGCTGAGAGGAGAAGGC